ATCTATCTATCTATCATCTATCTATCATCTATCTATCTAATGTGTGTGTGTGTGTGTGTGTGTGTGTGTGTGTGTGTGTGTGTGTGTGTGTTCCAGGAAAACTCTGGAACCGCCTTGGAAAATTTCAACCAAACTTGGTACACAGATGGCTTATTCTCTGAAAAAAATATGGTGGGGGTAAGGCACTCCTAATACCCCTCGAGGTGTGTGTTCTGTTAAGATACAGCCTGTTGTGCCTTAAAATGGCTTCTACTGTACTGCCATAAAATGGCTTCTATTGTACAGCGCAGTGGAGTTGCCATGGTAATGGCTTCACAGTACTCCAGAAGGGGCTCCCTCTGGTAAATGGGAAAATCCAACATTAGAAATTATGTTTGGTCTGGACATTTCCCCCCAATAAATAAATACCTCAACAATGCCAGGTTATCAGCTCGTCTTCTCTAACACAATCCTAGTAATCAGTTATTTAGGGTTAATTCTGCACTTACCCACTTGACAGCATCTGTATTCCCCAAAATTGTTCCAAGACCTGATTGCACCTCTGATATACCTTCTTACAATCAGCTTCATCTGATTGATCTCCACAGTCATCATCCCCATTGCAAAGCAGCCTACGATTGATGCAGCGGCCTAAAACACAGAATAAACTTGTTTATCATTCCTTGGACAGACTTTGCAAGTTAATAAATGCAATTCCTATGCCTTTAATGCATGCAGATCCCACAGTCATTTTAGTTCTATTGAAAACTTTTGTTTATCTCCCTATGCTTAATTGGCTTAGTATTCTTTAGGAAGGCACACATTTTTAAGCATTGCTTTCAGAATCATTTTTATGGTTAGAAGCAGATTATGTTGCATTAAAAAAGACCAGCTGGAGGATTGGAAGTACCTCAGTGAGACAGACGAAAAAATGTGATCTCTGAAGAGCCTCACACAAATTCTGTCTGACAAACCAATGTTGAGATCCTTTTTGGATTAGAACTTCTCTGGGGGGGAGTGAAGAAGGAGCTGCATCTCATTAGACCCAGAGGAATGCAACAGGTTCCTCGTAGGTCGGAGATTAGCTTTCGGGGGAGGCAGCACGGCAACATGGCTGCACTAAGTTGCAGGACTTCAGGCAAAAGCTTTTGAGCAGGACCAGTGCAGGAAAGGAATGTGAAACCTGATAAGAAGATTTAATTAATCAACTGACATAAATCAGAATCTGGAAAAGGCAAAGAACTTGTGAGTATAAATAATATTGATGGATAAATTGGGATTTTGGCAGAAAGAAAGAAAGAAGGGGAGAATGGTGGTTTAAATTATTAAGCCCAAAAAGAACTGCTTGTTTTAAACAACTTGGGGACAGAAATGGGGAAATAGAGAATTGATTAACCCATTGAAACACAAACCTTGAATTTGGATTTGAAAAGATTGTGTCTTTAATCTATAATCCAATTTTGTCTGAGCAATGAATGGAATGTGAAAACTTGGCAAGAAGATTTAATTAACCAACTGACATAAATCAGAATTTGGAAAAAGCACCCCCATACCTCTGCTTCATTATTATCCTTGGCTTGAGCTATTGAAGTAGATCATGTGACAAAACCTATGTACACCTTGTAATCTTTTCACAGACCTTAACAACTTAACATTTCATGCATCCCTTTGTCAACCACAGCAAATTCCAGACTGAAGCTTTTTCAGTAAACTCTTTAAAAGTTGCTATTTCTGCACTCTTGAGGAAAAGCAGAAGGTTAAATTTTTAAGTGACAAAGCCAGAGAAAGCTACACAGTAATGGGCTTTATAAATCCACCCTGTCGTTTTGCAGTGAAGGTTGATGACACAAGGTGGTTCAGAGAAAATTAATATGCAAGTAATACTGATGATTGTACTTAGAGTCCTCTTTAAAAAAAGTTTTCATTTTGCTTCTAATTAGCAGTGTATAGTGGGTCGGCAATCACTTGGGAAGGCAGTTTTCTGCTTTTTCCTGCTGCATTTTATAATCCATCAGATCAGAAATTAAGCCTTCAAAATCCTGTCATGTAGGCTGTTTGAAAATGTTAATGTACAATCAAATTTGATTTAATTTAACCTAAAATGTTCATCAGGGATGTGACAGAAGTTATGTGATCCTTTTCCTCATTTAGTTATGCTTTTACAAGAGAACATGCGAGGGGAATTAATAACAGGTATAGTCCTTTACAAAATAACTGAATGGCTAGATAACAGATATGGTTCCATGAATACAGCCTCTTTTTGGCTATTTATCTATTGGTCCTACTTGCCTGTGTGATCCATTCCTGTTACAGATTCTGTTGTCATGTCTTTATACGATGTCCGTCAAGATCAACATTTATATGTGACATACAAGGTAATAAAAAAAACCCAAGCTTCCATATTCCATTCAATCTATTTGAGGGAAATTTAACTCAACGATATGCAGTTAACCATTGGGTTTTTTTTAATTAAGGAGCGCTGCTCCCCCCAATTCTCTCACCTGTGGCACAGAGAAAGCCTTCACAACGAGCCTTACTGCAAGGTCTGTTTATAACACAATCTTCACTTTCATTGTCAGTGTAATCACACGGGTCACCGCCGAACTGAGAAGGCTGTTCCACACGGGCAAATCTGTACTGTAGTAGAATAGATATTATGAATTCCAGCCCTCCTAAATTAAAAGCCAAGTATCACAGATGGGTGAAGATCTTTGCTAGTTGGAACATCAACATGGACACTGGAATTGTAATGGAGCTCTCTCTTTTCACTCTGATATACAAGATGTAATTTGATTGCAGTTTTCTAAATGTAACAGAATGGTTTACTAATAATTCTGAATTAATATAAAATTACTTGTCTATGCATATAAAGTGAAGGGTATTTTGAGAAAAGGTGTAAGCTTAGCGAGTTACATCTTAGATGGGAATAGAATCCTTGATTACTTAATCCTAAAAAGTGAATTAAATCCATAGTGAATTAAAAATCCCACATATTTTTTGGTCTACCCATGATCTTGGAAATGCTGGTGTTTAATGTATGCGTCTCTCTGTGTGAGAGGAAATTTAGCTTTCAACTTCTGTGCCTTAGTTCATAGCTAGCTAAATATAAGATACACCAAGCACTTTATTCAGCTAAAGTGATTTCCAAGTATAGTAGATGGTTGTCTATGAAAGAACCCTTGAATTTTTAAACATTAATTATTGCAATTAGGACTGGCAACTTGGTTGCTAAGTGACATGGTTGGTAAGCGAAACATCATATGACCACATACGGACCCATAATGTCGGTTCTGCTGTGCTTGTTAATAGCAATAGCATTTAGACTTATATACAGCTTCATAGGGCTTTCAGCCCTCTCTAAGCAGTTTACAGAGTCAGCATATTGCCCCCAACAACAATCCGGGTCCTCATTTCACCCACCTCAGAAGGATGGAAGGCTGAGTCAACCTTGAGCCGGTGAGATTTGAACAGCCAAACTGCAGAACTGCAGTCAGCTGAAGTAGCCTGCAGTGCTCCATTTAACCACTGCGCCACCTCGGCTCTTACATTAAGTTAAGCAAATCATTATGGGTCATTAAGTGCGACATCACATGACTGCAATTTGAGATTTCCTTCTGGCTTCACCATTGACTTTTCTTGTCATAAAAAAGCTGACTGTGAAGTTCATGCACGTCCCGAGTTGCTTTTGGTGAGATTGGCATTTACAGTATATAAATCTGATAAATAAACCAAATGGGTTCATGGAAATCTTTTTTTGACTTTCACATCTGCTATGAATTCAGCCTTACGCTGGTTCACCTTGTTGATAGAGTGACTATAAGATGTGAATGTAATCAATTGTTTGCACTGACACCTTCACTGTAATTCCTTCACTATAATTCTGTGGAGGATATCTGGAGGAATGGCGAAAAACCATTTTTTTATTGTTAGATTCCCATATTTCTAGCCCCTTGCTAAACAGCTACTGGAAGCTGTGTAGCCTTTAAATGCAAATGCTTGTAAATAATAGATCTATCTCAGTTACTTGTTCAGTATTAGCTTTGCTTTCCTCAGTGTGCTCAATTTATTTTTCTAAGGTTATTCTCATAACAAAAAGGAGGAATCAAATCTAGTGGCCATAAAGAGTTGAGCTGCTATTCCAATCGCAGGAATAATGATGATAAATAATGATATGTAAGCTTTGGCTTTGAGCAAAGCCGAGGAATGGATATTGTAAAAATGATTGTCTTAGAGTGGTGACAGGACAAGATTATCTTGCACTTTTGAAAATAATGAGAATTTTGCCACTAATGTTGTAACAATCAAAAGCCTTCGTCGGAAGGCACTTGTGAGGTAGGGGCAAAAAACTCAACGATGAAAAATGAGCAGCTGCATGTCATCATCTCTTAGTCAAAAACTGGAAATTGAGGTCACTTAACACAAATGGGTTCTACATCAGGAGTGCTTCAGCATAAGTGAAGAAAATACAATGGCTCGCCAACCTCATTCTGGATAAGACAGGGAGGCAGGACAGCTCCTTTCAAAGGCTCTGTGCCTTATGCAATACAGCCTGAAGAGTTCAAACAGGACCATAAATCAGTGTTCCCAAGACTTCTATCACATTTACAACTTGTTACTTTTGTCTTTTAAAGCAGTTTGCTTTAAAGCTTAAAGTGCAGTTAATCTGCATGTTTAAGAGAGCAAGGGATGCTAATAAAGTGCAGTATTGCAATTTACCCTGATTATATTAGGATGGAATTCCAAGAAATTATTTTACTATTAAAATAATAGTGTTCATACTACATCATTTCTGTGGTAACTGTTCTGATCCAGGCTGCCTTTGAAACCAAGAAACAGTCTTGGTTCCTACAAAACCTTTTATTTTCACGACTGTGAATTCCTTTCATTCAGTTAGCAAAAGCAAATAGTCTTTCAGAGGAATATTTATCCACACACACCTTATCACAAACAGAACTTTCTGGACCAAATGAATGAATTGTTTCCTGCAAAAGCCCACTCCCTGTTCGTTCCTCTTTTGTTTCCTATGGGAAGGGCCAATCAACTCCAAGGTGTGGCTTTACATTTAAGTTGACCCTGCTTTCTAAATTGTTATTGCCTTCTGGCACCTCTGACCATGCACACACAGGGAATAGGCTCCAACTGTTTCTCTGCCTCGATGCTGTCTAACTCCCTCTCTGCCTTTCCTCAGCCCTCAGGACTGGCCCACCTTTCTCCCCAACCTCCTCACTATCTGACTCTGATGCCAGCTGTGCTGGCTACCGGCGGGCCACAACAGTAAGACCAATGATTTGAGAAGACATTTTTGTATGGGAGTTGTTTGAACTTTCTTATGTTTGGGAAAACAAAGCTGGCAAAATGCTTGAAGACTTTTTTCTGAAGGAAGGAAAGGTTGTCCCTTTCATGGAAATTAGAAAACTTTGAGGTATTGGGATATTTTTGTTAGAAAAGCAAAAGTCTCTCAAAAGGGATCACACATACTGTCAACCCTGAAGCTGACCTGACTGAGGCCATTTTGAGGCTTCAGTGCAGCCACAGCTGGGGTGTGGGGAGTAGAGATAGCTGGGATTTGTAACAAAAACAAAATATGTTCCATTGGGAACCAAGGACATTCCAGCAGGTGCTTGGAAGCAGGAGACTTGAGTCACCTAGCAACTGGACTACATCCTGATTAGACCATGTGACTGATTGTTTTGGGAAAGGGGAAACCTTTACTTTTAATTAGGTGAAAACCACGGGCATCTTTAGAATCAGTTTTCACCAGCCTCTGCCAATATGACATATCAAATAAAACTATATTTTTAGGAATCTACCTGCCTTGGAGTCTTGGTTGCTATGGATATGTTACTTGGAACCCTGACAAGTAAAGGTGCTAAACAGCCCAAAAGGAGCAGAAATGGTTTGTGCGTGTTGTAGAGAAAGCAAATAACTGAGAAAGAATAATCCTGAGGAATAGATGTGACAGGTTTAGGGAATTTACCAAAAGGAACCAAGGTTCCTATTTCTGGACAGTATTTGTTTTAACTTTATTTCATTTCTTTTAAAAAGAAGAAAATTACAATAAATAGATCCATACATCTGGTGACCATTCTTAGTTACAATAGCACTGACTACCTTTCCCCCCCACACTTATGACCATTACATACCCACGGTCATGTGATCATAATTTGGACACTTGGCAACTGACATGAATTTATGATGGTTGCAGTGTCCCAGGGTCATATGATCACAGTTTGCAACCGTCTGACAAGCAAAATCAATGGCAAAACTAGATTTACTGAACAGCCTCGTTACTAAGAGCCGAGGTGGCACAGTGGTTAAATGCAGCACTGCAGGCTACTTCAGCTGACTGCAGTTCTGCAGTTCGGCTGTTCAAAATCTCCCCGGCTCAGGGTTGACTCAGCCTTCCATCCTTCCGAGGTGGGTAAAATGAGGACCTGGATTGTTGTTGGGGGCAATATGCTGACTCT